CTTAACTGTGCAAGCATTTGCAAAGTTACAGCTTAGCATTCCTTCTGTCTCTCTCACGTGCACAGTACCTATTGCTTGGGGGCTGAGGCTCTGACACTTCTGTGGGTTCTGTGGCATGCTTGTTTTTCCTCTTGCTTAGCTTTGTTCAAAGCATCAGTGGTCACTTCATGCATATGGTACTCTTGTCTCTGATATATTTCAGCAGTCCAGAACTAGAACTATAATGAAATAATCTGATTTCTAGCCTAGATGAGGTTTGAATAATAGATAATACTATATTTCATATGGCCTAAACCACCAATTATTTTCACAACGTGCGGTGCAATTTTCTGCCACTTCTATCTGTAAATGCTCAGTACTATAAGCAGTTATAACATAGATTCACTGTACAGACTGCAAAATTGACAACGCTGCTGACCAGAAATCTCTGGAACCGTGCAGGTTATCATGTGAAGTAACTAATATGTCTCATTTTGCAGACGCGTGTTCAGGTAAGGGAGACCTACAGCCAATCTGTGTGACAGTCCCAGCTCTCACCTGCTCTGACAGCGATTTAGGCCTCTAGCTGCCGGTAATTCCTTAGTTGTTATTCCTGACGTGGAGGCCTGTGCTCTACAAATGTTGGTAAGACCCTCTGGCTGATCTGTTGGCGCTGCTGAGATCCTTCTGTCTGCCTGATGGACAAGCCCAGGTTTTCTAAATTGGCCCATTCAGCTCTTGTGCTGAGCTTTCAGCTGAGTCAGGCATCCGCAGCTGAAGTTGGTGGATGCGGGAGATTGTCAGCTCTGTGAAGTTTTACTTGTTTTAACCAGAACAGTCAGAGGGACAGGCAGCCTTTAGAGCTAGTGGGCAAGCTTGAGAAGCCTGGCCACAGTGAGTGCACACAAGATGGCAGTGGCTTCAATGGTTCTGGGAGTCTTTTTCTCTGCTTTGGTGCTGTCTAATTTTAATTAGTAAAGGAAACGCGCAAATCCAATCATCCAGCTTCATGGTGAAAGCTGTGCGCATCTCACTTCTTGATTCTTAAGAGGATGCCAAAACTTGTCTGCAGGCACTCTGGCTGCAGATGTTTGTCAATAATTAAACATGAAATCCACAACACAGTGATTTCCGAGGTTGAGGTTTAAAAAGGGCTCTGTGTTTTGTGTAAACTTTTCCAAATCATCTGAACTCAGTCTTGAATTTGGCAGATGCAAAGTGCTTTTAAAATATCCCACAGAAGATACTGATTAATAGATTAAAAAATACCCTGTGTGTGCACCCTCTGCATGCATTCTTTAAACATATATTTGGGTAGCAGCACCACATGCTTTGTATTGATATTTCAGTACAGTTATTTGTTAATGTAGTTGCATGCAATATTGTCATATGAGGTTTAGCATTATTGGAGCCTCCCCTTGGATAGCTGCAGAAGTGCTCTGATTTAACAGATTTTAAGAAATACCATTGCATACAGATATGTTTGTATTTACCTAGAGATCAAATCCATACTTTAAACAAACAAACCAGTCTATTGCAACAAGGGTATCAGAGTCATTACAGTTTAAAAAGATCAGCAAGAAATGAGCCTATTGCTTTCATTGTAAAGCCTCACTCCGTAAATAATCCCTTTGATTCTGGTTACTGTTCAGCACATGCAGTGCTATCAGAGGGCAGCCCTCATCTGCTAACAGCATTTGAGCTAATCATGCAAAGACCACAGACTTTGAGTGTTCAGCAGCTTCATGGATCAGACTTGTTATAAATAAATACTTGTAAATCTTTGCAGAGGAGAGGGACAGTCACAAGCATGGCTTAGGAAAGTGCTACTTGCTTGTGTGAAATATGTAAAACAGAGGAATGACTCAAAAGCTTGGAATCAATTACCTGGCAGTGATAGATTACCTCTGGAGAAAGGGGAGTAACAAGAAGGGGAAGCAGGAGTGGGAGGTGATGGTAAACTGTCACAGCACTAATTTAGCATCAGCCTGTAGATTCTGTGCTGTTGTGACCCAGGAGTGTCTCAGGATCTCATCTCTGGTGAAATTTCTAGTCCTTAAGTAAAACTGCTATCTTACTTGGATCTGGGCAACCACATACTTGTTTGTCTTCTCTGAATTTCCGTGGGTCACCCTACACACACAGTCTGTGAGACAGCAGCATTCCTCTGCCTTTGTGTGATTCCACAGTGCACAGTGGCTGCCTGCCCACCTGGATGAGCAGAGGATGGAGGAGATGTTGACTGGGGGGAGCTCACAGGGAGCAATGAGAAGAAGATCCAGATTTCCTGTCTCTCACCCTTGAACTCAATATGCTACTGTTTAGCAGCCTTATTTATCCCGCCTTGTGCCTGGTTAGAATTACAGTGGCTGCACTTTTTTCCTAGGGTGTTACTATGCTGCAGTCTCTCCTGACCACGAGGAGTCCTGTCCTGTGCACTGACAGTGTTTGGTGATGGGGGCTGCAGGAGGACAGTAAGGCCCAGAATACTCAAGTGCGCACAGCACTGAACCTAGAAGCACCAAGAGCTGCTCAATGCAGGGACGTCTGGCACAGAGGCTGCCCAGCAGGTTTTCCTAACAAAATTTCTGTGTTAGTCGTGCACGTGATAGAGAAAAACATAGAGGTTTAGTGAACTGTCATCTATATCAAATGTTCCTTGTCATTCTGACTTGAGTTTTTTTATTTGAGAGGTATAAAAATATAATTTTTGAGCAGCTCATTCCTTTGGGTAATCCCTAATTATCCTACAGCAGAGCTGATATTATAGAAGGACTTACGTGATGGATAGGGCATCAAGCAAAATCTAAGCACATATGCTTTTGCCTTACAGTCTCTTCTCAAAGCTGCCTCCCTTCCCTCTTATCACTTCCCAGATTCAATTGCAGTGCACCTTCTGCTCTGCCTTATCGATACGGGGCTGTCATCACACATCGCTGTCAAAGCAAAGAGCAAACTGTTGTCAGCAGATATGCATACAGCAGCGTGCTTAGCTAAAATGTCATTCCCAGGCAGTCTTGGATAACCAGTCCTTAGAGAAAATTGAAGAAATAATTTGTCATTATATGCTTGATAAATAAACAGGAACGTATATAAACAGTGAATCAATAGAGCACTACTAAAAAATTCTTGTAGCTGTTTCAGCACTTCTATTCTATGGGTATGAATGAGAGGTAAGCCTCTTATTTTTAATAAGAAATGATTATTTTAGCCAATTATGTTGGTAATTAGGTGCAGTGATTGCACTAATTGAGATGGAATTTTCCTTTAAGTGGTTGCTCAAAATAACAGGCAGCTGCAAGAAACTTAAGCTCATACTGTTGGAACTGTCCAATTCTCACTGAGATTCTTACTTTGTGATTTGTGCATGTGATTTTTTTCTTAAGCAGTTCAGTTTTTCTGTTTTGTTGTTATTTTCAGTGCTGTTTACAGGAAATGTGCCACTCGTCCCACTTCATCACACTCAAGTATCTACCCTGCACCTTGCATCCCTGGCCACGAATCAGTGCAGTGCTATCCGGTTTTTTCCACCATTCAGAAAAAAGTAGTAAAAATAAAATAACTGAAAATGACTCCCCTTAGAAATATATCTGTTCCTCTATTTGATTGACACCTTTATCTCGAGCTAAGCCTGTTTGCATTGTACCAAAATCAATCCATTTGTTGTGTAACTGTGCAGCCCCATCCCTCGATACTGTTCCCCATTCATCCAAGCAAGAAAAAATTAAAATGAAATGCATATATATTTTTAAGGAGCTAGAAGTACTGATGTTATCTAAGCATTTAGCCTGCTGTGATAGAAGTCACTGAAACTTTTTGCTACTGTTTGCCACAACAGCAGGATTGCATCTCAGTCCCGATCGTACAAGCATTAAATAGAGGCTACTTTTCAGCAAGAACTTTCCCTTGAGCATGCTTTGCAGGTATGAGCTCCTATGAAGACTCTTTTTATTTGCCAAAGTGCTCTGTGGCTTAACATGTTTTGAATGATGTAATACACACAATATGTGCATGCACATGCATGCATATGTAGTACCTGATGCATAATAGAATAATCTTTCTAGTAGATATTGCAGTTTATATTGTATTTGCATCATTTAAACATAAGAATGTTGAAAACCCTCTTATCACATTTCAGAAAATGATGTTTGGTCCTCTATGCCAACAAGGCTATCCTGTAAATTCTGCTTTTAGTAATTGAAATAAAAATAAAGCATAGCACAATTTTACAAAAAGAAAGATTAAAGTGCATAAGTACACATTGACAGATCCTGCTGTGAGGTCCTTTGAAGCAGACATTCTCTGTCCATGATCAGGGGTAGCTGGTTTAAACAGCAACAATCCTAGTGCAAATTACTGCTTCTGCTTGCAACAGCTGTCCTTGCAATATATACATGGCCTTATCTCATAGACCTCCATGTAGTGTTCCTGTTAATATCGCACCTGGTTTGCACGGAACTTGGCCCAAATTAATCAAGGTACCTTTGGAAGCAAAGTTGCCAACTTTGAAACACATTCAAAACAAAATACATCCCTTTTTCATGCATCTGTTTTCAGAGCTGTGTTAAAGATGAACCTTGAAGGTACTTCAGAGAAAGCAAAGGACGGAGAATTCATGTTGCATGGCGAAGTGATGTCAGCACAGTGAGATCAGCAACTAAGCAGGTTCCTTGGATGCGCTGCTTGCCATTTTAATGTGCCATAATTATTACCTAGGTTTGTTTTTCACATATTTCTTCATATATCTGTTTGTGTGAATATATATAGAGAGAGAGCGTGCATGGGATGATGATCTTCATCTAATTCAGGACTTTGTCAGATCAGCTGCTGCTCATTTGGATCCTTTGAGTCTGAGCATATTTAGAATATTTTGTGCTTTTGAATTTTTCCTTTTTGAATAACATCTGAGAATTCTGCTACTGATCTGCAACCGTGATCTTTTTTAAACTGTGATCATTTTGAGATGAGTAATAAAAGAGTTCTCTGCTTCCTAGTATAACTTAATTTGTGGATGCTTTGTATTACGGCTCTAGATTAAAAGCTCTTAATAGAATGTCTAGGTCGCCCACATTGGCAGCTTGAAATAGTTCTGGCTGGTCCATCATAGACAAAGCAATTCTAAGTGCTGCCCAAATATTGCCTGACAGAACAGGATGGGGCACCTGCTGTTGATTCCTGCTTTTCCTTTGCAAACTGAGAGCCGTGAGAAAATTGCTGACAGCCTCTCTGTAGGAAAGAAAAGAAAGGTGTAATGTAATTTGCTTAATGAATAGCATAAAACTTCAGGAAATACCATTCTGGAATTGAGTGTATTTTTTAAATACACTCAGGTGCGCGTGCACCTCTCAGGCCTTTTGGTGTTACTCTTGTTTGATTTTCTTTAAACAAATAGACATGACTGTAGTACTTCAGACCTTACTTTATTGGTATGCTTTATTGCTGTATAGATCTCTCTCATCTTAAACATCCTAAGCTGACAGTAAGGACCCCTATAATGGCCCCTATAAACCTGTGTTTCCTAAAGGTTGCATTAAAAGTACTTTTGACAATATTAACTACTGTAAGCATTTTAACTGGAGTTTCCCTTATAGATACAGTTTTATATTTTCTTTTTTCTCTTTAACACAGGATTGAGTGTGAGAACAATCCCACAGATGTTGATAGGATTACTTGCACTTAGAGCTAGGAAAAATGCTTAAGCATCTTGTTGAATGGAGGATTTTTAAATTCAGTAGTTCTGTTTTGTAGGTTGTATGGATATAAACAAAATATTACTCATTTATTAGTGCTTTGTAAAATATATATATATTAGCTGAGATAATTAAACTGTATTCTATTTTTTTTCTTAAATAGCTCCAGCTAGAAAATGAATTTTCACTTGGTAGATATGATCCCTGATTCTTTTGTTTACACATATTTGTAACTTACCTGTATGCTCCTAAGTTGATGCAGCTTATGCCTAAATTGTACCTGGACCTAATGAAGCCAGGTTGTATTTCTAAAGCACGTGTGTAAGCCTCAACAGCTTCTTCGCTTCGATCCCCATTTGCCAGGGTTGCTCCAAGACGGTTCCATAACGTGTAGTCCTGGTGAGAAAATGAATTCTCTACTGTAGGTGTCAATAGGAGGTGTAACAGCTCATCTTTGATTGCAAAGTAAGGTAGAAAATAACAACATCATATCCTCTCTTCATTGATACAGAATGGAAGTTTCTGACTCGTGATTATAGGCGACTTTAAATAACCAGTACGATTAGTCATTGTGCAGCTAAAAATCAGACATATGTAACTCTACTTATATATACTCCAAATGGGGCTGTCTGATAATTAACGCTTCTCTTTCAAGTGTTAAAATTTTAATGACCAAAGCAGCATCTCATTAATATTGGTCTGATCAAGAAGGGAGGAAGAAAACTGTGAAACACAGTTGTTAAAAATGGGAAAGCATGAAATGTACCTCTGGCCGAACAGTTAAAGCAGCACTAAATGCATCTATTGCTCGGTTAAATTCTCCATTCAGGTGGAAAAGAACTCCAAGTCCTGTCTGCAAGTCAGGGTCTATCACGTCACCATTCTGGTGAGCAGCCTCCAGGTATAAATCCTTTACTTCTTCAAGTAATGAGCTAGACAAGAGTGAAAAATAACATGAAGTTGCATCTTAGAGATCATAATTATTGTACTTGATGTTTCAGAAGTGATAAACTTGAAAATAAGCTGCTTGAGTTCAATCACAGCAGAGATACGCTTCTCCATCCTGTTGCAAACTCATTTCTGAAATACAGAAGTTTACCTGTGTAATGAAGTCAAAGTGAAGCTATGAATCCAAGTAAGAAAACGTGAATGCTTATTATTAAAGCTAATGAAATTAGGTGGGTTTCTCAGTTGTAAAAAGAGTAGCCGTTTTCGGAGCTGTAAATGACTAGCCAAGACCCCTGAGGATGGATGCCAAAATTTCCATCTCCTGTATGTGCTGTAGGCTTCATAAAACCTCACCGGCAGTTCTGGGTGATGAGGCCAAAGTAGAGCAACACTCTTAGCAATTAAGCTGAACTTGCATATTACATTTTACTGACATTATCTTGTCAACCTGAGGCTCCTTCCTGATAAGGAAAAATATAAGGCCTGTCTTCAAAATGATATGCAGTGAGACAGCACTAGTGTTTTGGTTCTATAAATGGTGTCTATGCCTTTAATGAATTTATTATGAATTTCAAACTTCAGAGAGATTAATTGATTGGCCTCATGAAAATATGATGAAGGGCTGCCAAGTCATGATTTCTTTTGTTATTTAAAATGGTTGCCAGCTCCCATTACAGTATTGCTGGGCTAGAGACAGAAAAAATGACCACATTGTCTCTTTGTTTAAAAACAAAATGAGTTTTATACAAGCAGATGCTACCTCCCAATTATATTCAGTGAACTGAAGCCATGTCCCATGGCAAAATGGCTGATGTTCCTGGATTCTAGAGGGTTGGTTGGGATATAGGAAATTCGATGAACTATAGAAAGAATACGTAGAGCAATACAACCTGGTAGGAATTTGGAAGCAGTAGAACGAGGATTTTGGGAATAAAGAAGCTGCAGTCAGGATGAATAGGATTAGTAGAAAGTTATGGGACTTGAAGCAACAGCTATCTTTTGATTGCAGTTTATGTTAACTTCCATGGATGGAATAACGTAGTCCTTAGTCCCTAAACTGAAGGTACTGTTTATTTCCTACCTCTGCCTCTACGGACATTTAGTTTCTGGGTTTCCATCACAGGCAACAGGCTGGACTTCTACACATTAAGGGCACAGCATGAAGCATTGTTTGTAGTGGTCATTACATCTCAGCCAGCAGGATTTAACTGCGTTTACCTTTCTTCTGACGTCTTAGACATTCTCCTGGTAAGTGCTGGGGACCCTTTTTTGCTTTTCGCTATGTACTTGTACTTTGGATTTAGCTTTATCCAGTTTCGTAGAGCTTGGTAGGCTTCCTGTTGGTGACCTGTGTTAGTATAACTTACAGCCAGTGCCATCAGAGCTTTTAGGTTGTTTGGCTGCAGTTCCAAGCACCTAGGCAGAAAATAAAAATATGTTGAGGGTTTTTGTTTGTTTGTTTCTAGCCAACCACATTCTTGAGTTCTTTCAAAATAGTCCCTGTCAATAAATAAGTCACTTAAAAAAGATCTATCCAACAATGTTTTCAAAGAAGGGGCTTTGTTTTACTGTTTTGTGGTAAGTGCATTATGCATTTGTACACAAACATGCATGCATGGGCCTTTGCATACACACATGAATGTATATAAATATGTGCACACTGGTAATGCTCTCATCTTTTTCATTATGAGTAAGTTGAGTGGGTAGATTGGTTTTATATTTTCTGTCTAGCAAACAAAAAGTTTAACTTAAATTCCTGCAAACAGTTTAATATGATTTTCAGCTCTGCAAAAAAGTATTTTGAAGAAAAAAAAATCACTTTCCTATGAATCATCTCACAACTACTAAATTCTCAGTAATTCTTTGATAACAATGGAGCCAGTAAACTGGAATAGTCTTTCTACAGCTGTATATCATGAACTGAAAACAAAATCTGGCCTATTTTTTGAACATCACTCTTGTTTTAAAACTGGGGGAACAGAAAAGCCCTACATCAGACAACCCCTTGGTCTTCTGTCTAGGTAAAATGGAAAGCTAGGTGTAAGTGAGAGCATCCCTAGGTGATAACTGGATGGTTAATGCTGCTAATGCAATTGAATTTTGAGAGGATGCTTCTTAAGTGGAAACATGAAAACCCTCTAGTGGAAGTAATAATAATGCTGATATTTTGGAGCTGACTTTTACATACAAGTATCTTCATCAACCACAGATATTCTCAGATTAGTATTCAGCAGCTGGAGGTGATTAATTCTAGTTGAAAAAAACACCAACCTCTTTGTTAAAGGACAGACAACAGAAAATATGCTAAGTGGCTAGGATATCAAAAAGGTACTTCATTTGCATTATGCCTAACTGGTGTTTATCAGACCATGCAACTTTCCTTCAGTGCAATTAATTACATTATTAGATTAACTATTCTACTTATTTCATACAATAGAAAGACTAATCAACCGTCTGTCATTGTTTCTACACCTGTGTCAATGCTTTGCTTAGTTAAATAAATGGTTCAAGTTACAAGACAAATATGAGGCTAAATATACCTAGGTCTCCGTTACCCAATACTCATTCGACCCCTTATTTAGTGGTTATCTTTATCTACCTTTGGAGTGCGACAATGGCTGCTTGCTCATTTTCATTCTCTGCCTGTGTTATGCCCAGGAACTGCCAGGCCTGCAAAAATAATCATCATCTTGTTTTGTTATACAGACCCAAGTGCAAACACAACTAGTATCACTTCCAGCGGGGAGGAGAATAAAGATTGATCTGTTCAGCAGTAATTACAGTTTTTTCTACGGTGTACAGACCAACAGTACAAATCAGCGCAGTTCTGAATGCCTTTGAGCATGATAGTATTTATAATCAGTTGATGCAAAGGTGTTTTGTCAGTGTGTAAATGCATGCTGGTTTCTCAGATGTAAGTTACTGTACATTTTAAATGTTGCCAGACTATTACAGAAAGCGCTGAACAACGATTAAGTTATGTATGTTTAAGGGATTCCTGAGGGTCTAGGAATTATCTCTGCTTTTTGAAACACTGCAGCTTATTTTTAACAATAGATTCAAAGAGATCTGTATGCTTACATTGTAAATATTCTTCAGGTTTCAGTAATATTGTGGAAAATGATACAATTTTAAGAAAAGTCTTAAAATTCTTGTTAAATCATTTTTTTTTTTCCTTTTTGTAATGGTAGTGTTTAATAGGTTGAAAACATTGGGAAAAGGAAATGAAGCATTTCAAATATTGTCTCTCTTCAAAGCTTTTAAATGACAATTTGGCAATTCTGTCATTTCAAAAATAGATTCTCATCTTATGGAGAGCTCCCTGTTATCTATTTCAGAGCATATGTTATTCCAGAACCACCATAGTTGTTCAAGCTGTTTCAGTCAGTCATGACTAGCAAAGCTTTGGGTCATAGAACCATTTCATCTCTGTATGCTAAAGGGAGTCCCCTTTCCTTTGTCAACAAAAAGCATAAGAGTGAATACCTCTGCATCATTGGGCTCTTGTAGAATAGCAGCCTCCAGGTACAGGATTGTAACGGGCAGATCACCTTCTTTCATTTTTTTCAGTCCTTCCTCAAAAGCACCTGGCCAGTCTTTGAAAGGATTTTCTGTATGGAAATAATATCCCTGGGGAAGAGAATGAAGAGAGCCATGTTGAGCCCTGTAGTGAGGGATAGCAACTACGAATTTAAGTTTTCAGTATATTCTACCAGGACGCAAACATTTTTTCTATGAAAGAATGGATGAGCTCCCCTGTAAAATTTGAATTACAAAAAACTGTAAAAGCAAACATCACTGGCCATTTGTATTTGTGCTCTCTGTATATTTACTTGATCATTAGTTATGCTTAACGGTACTTATGTTGGGTGTCAAATATAATGGCAAAGGCTCACATTGCAATAGCAGCAGAATTGAACCCAGCATGAGCTCAGTACATCCAATTTATGGAAAAGAGCATAAGGAGCACAAACCAAGAGGCTGACTCCCTGCAGTGCCTGCAACCTCATCTCTATTTGGTTAATATCCTGGAATCTTCAATTAATTTTCAAGATAAAGAGTAGTGTTTCAGGTGCCTGAGTTGAATTTGGGTGTTTTTTGGTTTTTCTTTTTAAAGTTTTGCCTTTTTTCCTCTTCATGCCACTGCAGTGTAAAAAATGTATGCTAATATTAGCTTCATAATGTATGTTGAATTAAAGCATACAAGGAAGGGAATGAAGAAGAGTGTTTGAGTGTGCCTGTCTGGATTTTTTTAGTACTTGGTGCTCTTCCTTGAGCGGCTGTTTTCAAATGTACTCAGACTCCAGCAGTTTGCTTTGCAATCCATTTGGCTGAATTCACACACTCTGCGTGTCTAAATGTATTCCTACTGTGGTACCTTCTCAAATCTTACCCTATTCACAGTCAATTTAAAAAGGATGAGTTCTTTTGGATAAAATTGGCTTCCATATCCCAGAAGAGTTTTCTTGGGATCCCATGAACAGCTGAAGCTCATCTAAAAATGTCATGGGAAGGATGCACAGTTTGAAAACAACTTTGTGTTGTTACCTTCTCAATGGTAGAGATGGTGACTTGCCCTGGTGCTTCTTGGTTCTCTGAAATCCAGTTCCTGCGAGCCATTTCTTCCCATTCTGCTTGCATTTTATCCCAAAACTCTGTGTCTGACTAGAAGAAAAAAGATGAAAAAATGAACAACAAAATCCTAAAATAAAATGAAAGGCTTTTATTATACTTTTTTTTAACAAGTGACAATTTTGCTGAGCAGTGTTCATTCTATTAATAATCATGCTGACTGAAATACTACAGTACAAATATGGAATTTCATATAATTAAATTTCATCTCCTATATTGCAATGTATTTCTTCGTCAGAAGACTCTTTATCTCAGAGGCAGCATATGTTCTGTCTGAAGCAGGATTTGCAGCAGTTTACACTGCGTCTCATTGATGCTAACAGTAAATTGTTACTTTAAAATGTGAATGGAAATGAATGGCTCATCCCTAGCCAAAATGAAAAACAAGCCCTAAGCATATGTGCTAAAGAATAACAGTAGTTAAAAGTTTCTTTAAAAAACAAACAAAAACAATTGTCCTACTTTGATGGATTCAGCATCATTTTTGCCATGTAAAAGAGTAATCACCAAGTTTAGTGTGTGGACAAGATATTTAATGTAAATAGAGTCTTCTGACATAGTGGAGAAATCCTAATATTCATAGTGTCATAGAATGGTTTGGGTTTGGAAGGACCTTTAAAATAATCCAGTTCCAACTCCATAGCTATAGGCAGGGACCTCTAGAACAGGTTGCTCAGCCTGGCCTTGAATGCTTCCAGATTGAGGGCATCCACAACCTCACTGGCAGCCTGTTCCAATGTCTCACCGCCCTCACAGTAGAGCATTTCTTCCCAATATCTATTTTTTCAGCCTCCTCACTTTACCTATAAACCATGAAAAGCAGTGCCATAGCAGAATATGTGCTCAACACTGCAAGCCTTTGCAAAGTGCCCCAGTTCCTTCAGGGCATGGCCAGGACCATAGTGCCAGTGAACTGACACTGCCGAGAGTGCAGTTTCTCAGTTTGTTTATGTCAGAGAATTAATAATTCTATTGAGGTATAGAACTATTTGAGGGTAAGGTACAAAATTAGATTTAGATTTATAAATTTAGAGATGTTAGAAACTTGCTCACACAGTTCTGTCTGAATCTCTATTGGCAGATTGATTGCTCTTTGATACTGTTCTGCAGCCAGGCGTGATTTGCAAAATCTTAATTTGTGAATGCGTGACTTGCCACAGCTCTACTCCTCAGGCACTTGGAAAAAGGAAAATGCAGACTGTTAATAGATCTAGAATGAGTCAGCAGCCAGAATATGTGAGTCTGGATGTAAAGGGTAGGACCATAGCCACTGGCAGTAGGTGCAATTGCTATGAATCACGATGCTGTTTACAATGGCATTGTACATTCCCTCCCTACAAATCTGAAAGGCATTTCCCTTTGGTTCTTGCTGTATCACCTCCCTTGGATATCCAGCGCTTCCTTCCAGGAGGCTCAGGCTTGTATGAATTATGCAATTAGCAGATCTGTGAAGATACCTGCTACGTTACTCTGCAGACTAGGAAACAAGTGTGAATCATTCATGCCCAAAGAGAAAATTACATTCTTTTTAATAGAAGCAAACAGAAGATGATAACTCTGTTACACAACAGCTTCTGAGGTTTCAAAATTTGCTTTCATTCCAAATTTGAAGGAAATAGAGTCATTTAAATAGTTGTGAGATTGTGCTGAAATATCCATTTAGGAACTGAAAAGGCTGGGATAAAGATTCAGATTGCTCCCTCTTTTATCAACCGTGAGCAGAAGCACTTGAATCACTTAAACTATCCTGTTCAACAAATGTCTCCATGAACTATTTTGCATTCAGTGCAAATCTGCACTGCACTGAAGAAGAAAATGGCTTGACCATGTTCTTACTAGAGGTAATTTTGAGATTCAGGATGAGGAAAGGTAGTGGAAATTTCCCTTTCCTGCAGATTAATATTAATGTAACCACTATATATACCGTAATTATTAATGCCTTTTAAAACAGATTAAGTTATAGATCTAATGATACATATATATATATATATATCATGCTTATAATGTTTTTTTTTTTCTTGTATTTTTCACACAAATATCACTTTTAGAGCCCACTGACTTGGAAGCATATAAATCACATTTCTTCAGCATATATAAAATCACTTTCAAGTGTTTTAAGCAAGGATGTAAGTGTTTTTAGGTCTTCAATTCGAATTCTGTTGCTCAATTACATATTTATTACCCACCCAGAAGTTCACTGTGTGCATACTGCACTTAAAAAGCCAATGAATTACTATGTGTTTAAGTATCCATGCTTGATGTTTATAGTGAATCAAAAGTGGAGGAAAAATGAAGTAAGAGAAGAGTTATTATGCTGTAAGGTCACTTATCTCGTGCCACTTGGACGTGGGTCAGGACCCACCTGGTATTTTGCAGCTGTAACCAGGATTTGTAAGGTTGGGCAGGGTGGGCACTTCCTTTGTGCGCAGCAGCCCTGTGAGCAGCATTCAGTCTTAGGGCTCCTGCACCAGCTACAGCTTCTGAAGTGCATCCAGCACTTGGGGTTTCTGAAGCACGTGAGGCAAAGCTATGTGGAGCAACTGGATCATGCTCAATCATGGCACCTGGTAAAATGCCGTAACATTACCATGGCAAACAACAATTTCAATATCAGAGCGGTTCAGTGTCCTTGAGGAAGAGGATCGTAAATATTACAGTCTTTACTAAAGGCCTAATTCTATTTTAGCTGTTATGAGTAGCAGTTTTCCATTGACTCCAGTGGCAGGGGAGTTAAATTAATATTGAGTGCTTCTGAAAATCTGGCTATGGCTCAAGACTCCTAACTCTAATTTTAACTCCATTTGCTATGTGACTGGTGCTAATTATTTCATTTCAGTGTTTTTCCTACCTTAATGCTGACAATTTACTTTGGTCACACCAAAAGTTTTCAGAGCAGTTGAACAATTTTAACGTATTCTCAGGTAATCTGTAATACCTGAGTGAAATGACAACTAGGGAAAATGTTTTATGCCACTTATTCCTTCCACGCAGAATATTTTGCATTTTGTCATAGAGGCTATTTTTACTCTTGGTATTTAAAAACATGCAGAAGCAGTTAAACAAATCAGAGGCAAAATATTCCCAGACTCTTTACTTCCTACGATAGAACTGCAGGGAGGAATGCTAACAGCTAAGGTATGAACTTCCATGTTTTCATCTTTTTTTGTTAGAACTTTCCCCTACTGCCAAAACTCAATTTGCAGTGTTCCTTCTTGACCACTGCATAAAAAACAAAGGCTTTGTGTTTGTTCTTCCTTTGAATTATTGCATCCATGTGTTCTTCAGTTTGAATGACACGGTATGTTAAATTTGTGTGCTTACTAATTATCACTAACTACTGTTGTCACAAAATATAGCTGTAATATGCTTCATAACGGTACGTTATGCAGTAAGGTCCCACGTTACATTGGCTTGTAAATAAAATGATACTGAGAAGAACAGTTTAACGTTTCCTTTATGTAACCTCACAGCGCTGTGGCATCTGCAGTTTCATCTCTATGCTAGGGAAATGAGGCATAACAAAATACCAGAATTGCTTTTTTCTGTATCTGAAATGTTTCTCAGTTGGAAGTTTTTTCACTTTCTTGGTTTCACGTATTTTAATTCTAACTTATTTCCAATATCATGGTGCAGAATAAATACAATAAATTTAAAAATCAAATATTTAAATAAACATAAACTATAATAAAAATATAATAAGTCTGGCTATAGAAAGGATATGATTTCCCATACTGGCTTTTTTTTTTTTTTTTTTAATTCAGTGGTGTCAAGTGTTGGTAAAACACAGCTAATTACTGGAAAGATTATGTGTGGCACTTGGAAATAATGGCATGAGGCTCCTTGCACTTCCCTCAGGTGTGTAGCAAAGGAATGTGGCGAAATTCAAATCTAGTTTCCAGAATGACAGAAAAAAGTAGCTAAGTCTAAACAGACTGGATCAGCATGAGGGAATTTAGATGCTCTTTAGTTAAAAAAAAAAAAAAAAAAAAAAAAACAACAAAACACAAACAACGAAACCCTAATCTAGATATGTCTTTATTCTTTAAAGAATCCTCAGTGGCATAGATATCTTTAAATATACTTAAGAAAGAATTGCCTTACAGATTTTCCTTTATCTCAGAATTTGTCATCTTAAAGCCATTCCCACAGCCCTGAAGTGAAAACTGGGTGGAGGATAAAGTTTGGTGTCTTCATTTACTGAATTGTTAATTCTTTTTGAGGCAAACCACAAGGAACCTGAGATTTACTTCCTTTTCTTGATCTGTTTTCTGGCTAATCTTACCACTTGAAGCTTTTCCTGTTGAAGAGTATTACAGAAACATCCAAAGCCTAAAAGAGGAATTTTTTGAACACCATATCTTTTCTCTTCTTGAGTAAGCACTAATTTTTCTGAGATGGCCTGCAATTTATTTCAATCGCCCTGGATTTCTTACCGCTTCATTTTTGCTACAACAAAAATTTGGCTCTTTTCATATGCAAATGAAAATAGCTGTAAGGTCTTAAAGAATCTTCTCCTTTTTATTTTAACTACCTGCTCCAAGTTTCTATTTTAAGTATAAAGAATTGCATAGACTGCCAGTTACATAGTTAGAGAAACATTTAATTAGATTATTTTAAATAGCCGTTTTCAACACTACATTAAAGCATTTTAATAATTTTTGGTGCCTTAGAATAACCTTTTAATGTGCAGGGTTTTTTTTACAATACATTCTCCTCCTTATTTTACTCTAAAAAATATTCAGTAATGTTTTATGATCTTTTATTAGCCTCAAAACACATTTTTTTTCTACTTAAAGTCTGGTTCCCACCATAACATGTGATTTTTGGCAATTAGAAGAGTACTGACACCATTTGCTTAACAACTAACTGCAATGCAGGGATGTTAATCACCAATTCCCTGTGTCTCAGTCACAGATTTCAGTATATGTCCCACCTTAAAGATCACACTGCAGCATAAGTAGGAAAAACTGGAAAATTTTAAGCAGTGGTAATCTGAAAGCAAGTCTCTCCTTTCCTACCAGTAACAAATGTGTATGACGTGCAGTATATAGCTTACATGCATAGTTTATAAAGCAGCTGATTTTACTGTATCCATTTTAACTTTGTAAATGTAGACAATTTTTTATGTGCATTGAGAACTGATGGTGGTATCTTTCTGAATACCTGTGCCTTTTCAAACTAGATTTATTTATCAGGAAAAGGAAATGCTTCAGTACTTAACATTCTGTCACTGATGATAAAAATTCATTGGTTACTTCTGTGCATGCAGTTACTCTCCCATCACAGCAAGTAATCGTTCTCTTTATCAATGATATTTAATTAAAGTTTCAGTGTGGAGAGTTGGTTTGTGTCTGAGTGACTGCACACGTTCAGTTACTGGGGTAAAAATATTTTTCACTCTTATACCTTAAATTTGGAAGTACTTACATTTATGGGGGATTTTCTTGACCCACTTGCTATAGTAAGACAAAATCAATTCTGAAAAGTTCATTCTCATTATCTCCATTTATAACTGTTATTTTATATTTTGTTAAGAGAGAAACTGATATCTTAAATGAGTAACTCCAGGAACGGGATCTTTTCTCTGCTTTGAAAAATGTAGTACAAATTTTCTTATCTATTTGTGAGGCAAAATGAATATGAAATCTGTAGAACATCAGCTGAAAAGGGAAAGAGTAAATGAAATAATACCTCCACAGCTGCCTTAGCTCTTTCAAATTCCTCTTCCAATGAGTGATTTCTTGAGAGAAGAGGCCCTCCCCAACGCTGCTCCTTAGTTGATCGCACCTAACAAAAATAAAAGGATCAGAATGGGATGATGTACTCTGCCATGTTTCTGAGTTATTTCCTTAACTGCTTGGAGCACAAAATGTCCTTTTTCTTGGGCAAAACTAGTTGTGTCCTTGCAGGAATTCTCCTGTGCTGTAGAAAGATCATTCCTCATTAGAAGCAGAATAACTTGTCTTTCCTAGAGTTTTCTTATTCCTTAGGATGCTTTAAAGACAAAAGAAAGCCAAGAAAAGACAGTGGAAGAGTTGGGCTAGCAGGGAAATAGATGGCTGTTTTGTTAAGACTTTTATCTTAATTGTTGCTACTCCTGTATTATGACCATTGTAATGCATTCCACCCATTAGAGAACCAGGTTTGCTATGACTTTAACTGGAGGGATAAATCCAATTTACAATCAGTAGCGCTCTGTTCTGCACCATAATATCAATCATAATGTCAATCCTATTGGAAGTACGTAGCCATTTCCCCCCTATTTCTTTATTAAAAATATTTTATTCATTCTTTTTGCACAAAAGGCACGGTACAAAAGCAAGCAGTATTCAGTGATAACTTAGAAAGCAACGAAGTGGCTTAATCTTGCAAAAGAGCTCTGAGTGCTAATCTCTTCCCTTGTGTTTGTTAGAGGTTACGCATATTAGTTATTTGCCTGACCAGGATCCTAACTGCATTAATTTACATGATGATATTACAGATGACTGTGCTTATAATATTTATTTGCAATAAGCTGTGTTGGAAAGAACTGATTTTTGCTCATTTCAGACACACGGGGCTGTGTCTGCAGGTGTTGACACGTGCATTGCTGGCATGAAACACGCAGTACGTTCGTGTATGTTCACATGATGTGTATCTTTCTGTGTATACTTGTGCCTTTTTAACTAAAAAGATTACATACCTGTGTCAGTCTAGTCCTAAAATTTCTGTTTTGCTCCTATGCACTTTAACAATAAATAGAACTTCAGACAAAAGATGTAACTGTTTCAAACAGTCTCTTTCTATATGGGTGTGTAATGCTGTCATATGATAAAATGAAACTGATGTTCTGCAGAGAATAAGTGGAGGTTGTCTGGATTACACGTCTTTGAGGAAGGTGCTTGGATTTAATTTAAAGTTACCAGGAGACCTTAATTTTATCACTGTTTGGAAATTTAATTGACCTCCTTGTTTCTCTTACTCCTTTTAGTTTCAGTTTTACAGCTATTACTTCTTAGCCTTTCTTCAGTAGTTTAAAGTATGTTTAGTATTCCTTATTTTCTCTGTGGAAAAATACCCATTACTTTAATTAGGTTTTAACTGTCTTTTAAAAGATGTAAAGAGATTGAGATCTTAGCTCATTATGAGATGTTTTTTTCCTCAGACTTTAACCTTTTTTTGGTTCCTTTTACTTTCCCTCATTAATTGGTTATAGCTTAAATACATAGCCATGCAGATAACAAAAGCGAACACTATAGCCCAATACCTGTATTGCTGTTTCTTTTTAAAGTGAGCAAAAGATCTCCTGTTCCCAGAAATTATGCCTTTTTCCCCATGCTTTTCTTGTCACCATACTGCACAGGGAGCACTCATTGACATCCCTGTACACTCTGAGACATAGATCCTCTTCAGAATTGCCTTCCAGTGTAGTGTTATAGAGCCTGCACTGTCACTCAGAAACATGATTTTTTGAGTGGTTGTGTTGGAATTCTTCGTTATCTAATAGGTATCTTGGTCACCAACTCATTTTCATGACTGTCTTGCTTATGTTTTCTCCATTCCATTCTTGCATTATTTACAGGTTTTACCAGTGGCTTGCATATTTATTTTAAGATCAATAATATTGAAGAAATTATTTCTCTTTGCAGTCACCAAAGAACTCTGCCATATGCTTTTAGTTCCAAGTAAAAACCTACTGTTCTTGAGAACCTAAATTTAGCCAGTTTTATTCTGTTTAACAGTTACTAATTTTTTAATCAGGATATAGCGTGCTGAGTTAAACATCTCATTGAGTATCACAGAGCAACGTTTATCAATCCAACCTGTAATCTGATCAGAGAATGAAATCTGCTTTTGACATAAAATTCTGTTGATAGACATTAATTATGTTCCTTGCCTTTTCATTATTTATGAGTTGACTCTTGCCAGATGTTTGACTGCATCAGCTTTAGAATCCTTTCTTTCCAGTGACTGTAATTTCCTTAGGTCAAAGACAGTACCATAAATCATGATGCTTAGACTGATTAGTGCTGTAGAAGGGGACAGTGAACTTGTTAAGGCAATAGAGAGGTGAGGGGAAGAGGATAAGAAAGAAGCATAGAAGTTCCTTTCTCTGCCATGTGTCAGAGCATACACACTCTCCTTGCATAATCCACACAGGATACACCTTCTCCTCCATTAAATGCACACGTGCTCTCAGTCAGAGGGGACAGAAGTAGAAAAACCCACGTAAGCTGCATTTGCATATAGACAATGCAGCCTTATTTTGATTTGCCATAATCCAGAAATGAAAAAACCCGCACGTAGCAAGCATGCTGCCTTTCACTAGTGCAGGAAGAGAAGGGATGGAAATGGAGTGCCAGCACTGGAGAAGTTCACATCTCCAGCTGGTGATGGACTAGGACTCTGCAGCCACATCCCTAAGGAGAGTCCAACGTGTATTATGGGTCAAGGTGGAATGGGTATGTCTGAGGCATGGACAGTCTGCATACACTGTGGTTTGATATGCTCACCACTCTACAGCGGAGGTGCTGTAGTTGATCATTGGCTGCTGTCTTCAGGGGCAAAATCTTCCATTCCAGTACATTTGTGCACACCTTCCTGCGCTTGTAGTCTGCTTATGTGCTGTTGGACCTTAACTGTTGGTGAGAGGCTTAAATTATAGTCTTAATTTTTGAGCAGGTCTTCAAATAATGAGCTTAATCTGTCCCTTGTAACTTAATTTTATTAGAGTAACTGGCACATCCAAAAAGAGCCAGGCCATTCATTAGTCTTATCATAGCTATTTGGAAGAAATGGGGAATAAATTATGCATTCTAAATATTGCTTCCAAAGCTGCAGATTTCTAATGCTCTGCAGTCTTTGGGATACATCTTAGTCTTAAGAGTGTTGAAGCAGTAGAACTGGGTGTAGTTTTTAGTATGTCGAGGTTTTTTGTTTATGCATTCTGAATGAGCAATACAACGTCTAACATACCTAGAGAGGGCCAAGATTTAAACTGTATTTTGAGAGTTAAAACATAAGCAGACTTCATGCATGTATGTTTGAACTTACTGTCTCCTTTTGCTTTTTGGAATTGTCAGAGAGAAAACAAACTTTCAGAAACCCCCATCCACTGTAGGATATCTTGTACCAATAAACCCATAACAAGGAACTTTTCATTAAGGCAGATAAAAGAAAGAAAAAAGATACTTAGTCTGATGCAGCTTAAGAATTAGTAGGGAACATACATTGTGAACAGAATACTAAGAAGCAAGTTGGCCACATCCAGTGACAGCTACCATGCTGTTGCCCTGTCCAACCTTCAAACACATTTCCTCCTTATTAATTCAGAGCTTGCCTTTGTGGTGTATGACATAAGTGCTGGTAAATGCAGGATTTTGTTAAGAAGATTGTATAATCTTAATGAGAAAATGTAACCTAGTTGCTTAGTATTTCACTTGGAGGAACTAAATCTAACATGTCAAAGATGAGTGATGATGATGATTATCTCAGAAACTGCTGATAGCTAACTGCAGCAAGTTTGACAGGATGAAATCTTTAGGGTAAGGCAGTGTCTGTTGCATCTGCAAAGGTTATCCTTTAAGTGAGATAGACAAGATCTATGGAGGACAAAGTATGGAAAACGCATGCTTTGATAAAAGCGCTAATGTGATTTCTTTTTCGAACAGATTAAGAACTCTGTCAAGACAGATGAGCCTGGTTTTGGGGAACTGACAACTTTGGCATTCCACATATAAGCAGGATAGAGCAGGCAGTGAATGAAAACTCTACATTTCTGTGTAAACTAGCCAAAATAAGAACTTGAGGTCATTTATTTGCATTATTAATTACTAAGTCAGCATTTCATGACTTGAGGGGATTGCAAGTTTGAAGAAAGAACAGCTTGTAATAAAGCAAAATAAAACATGAAATATGCTAAAGCATCAGATAGGGATAAATGCTATTTTTTGCTCTTTCAGTTATTCTAATGTAAGATAAACAGGAAATAGACATATAAATTAGAGATTTTACATACTAAATTTGCAGAGAGCAAATTTAGTTTGCTTTTAGTTACTTTTCCAGAGAGCAGCAGCACTTAGATTCTGGAACAGTCTACTTCATTTACACACATCTAAGTTAAACATAATTATTACTAATAATTATTATTATATGTACGATTAGACTGAAGAAAAAGTGTTTGGGGGCTCTTAAAGATGAGAAGGACGATGCTTGTGAAAACGTTGTCTGTCTAAGGCTGATGATATTGTGCAACAGATCTTTTCCATTAAAGTTATGCATATTGTACAGAAAGAAGGCATTATGCATTGAAATCCATGTTATGCTTTCCAAGGGGGAAAAAACCTGTTTGCAATGTAAAAAAGGCAGCGAAGAAAAGACAACTTTTTCTCTAACGAGACAGAAATGAGCCTCTTTCTGTTTTCTGCAAAAAGTAGTGCATGATCTCAGGAAAGGCATTTGGCAATTTGGTACCTCATTTTTTCATTTTCAAATGGGGCCATTAACTTTCATTAATTTCCAGATTTTCTGTCTGATGGAAAGCTTTTCAAGTGCAGGCATAAAAATAGCTGTGGAAGAAGAAAAATTGTTTTTAACTAGAAGTGAATCCACTGAACAACTCTCTCTCCCCTGTCAGTAGCATTAGCTGAATTTGAAAACTTTTGGATAAGAAATAAAACGCAGGAAAGAAGATGAATATGCAATGCATATATAAATGTATGTTCGTACACATTTATGCATACATACATACTTAATACCATACAACTTTCAGTAATTTCTACAAAGTCCTGTTCAGGGTTACCCTATGAGAGTGGAACTGGGCAAATCTACAAACATGCAGCCCTGAGACCTCTGTTTTGGAGTTCATTTTCCAGCAGGAAAAAGTTCTTTGAACACATTGCTCCCCCTCTCATGGAGGTAAACTACTAAACAATGTTGGCCTCACGTATTGCTTATCATTTCCCAATGTTGTGTATTTCTGATTCACCAAGAGACCTTGAAAAAAGTTACATTTCAGGGATAAACAACAACTACAAGTTCAAATTTCAGAACTGGAAGAAGGGAAGGAAGATGCTGCTGTAAATTGTAGTTTGAGGTCTTTTGGACAGGAAGGTCACAGTTCCCTGCAGTATTAAACTGAATGTTTGAAGATGATGAAATAGGCTGGTTTGTAACATTAATTTGGAAGCTGTGTGAAGATTCAGCTGTGTAAGGATTTTAACTGATGATCCTGAACATATCCCTTAAATATTTCGTCCAGCATGTGAGTAGTTAGTCAATGAGACAATTCCTACTTGCCTCTTCAATGTTACTAAATCTACCAAATGTTTCTTACCTGTACTGCAGGTGCTACTTCTAGTTCTGATGTTGAATCAGTGTCGAAAGCGCTCTTGACATTAGTCAGCTCAGACTGCGATCTATTTTCTGTGGACCTAGAAATAACACATTTACAGACTTACCACTGTACGCTGATACACTGCCTTATGTATTTCAGGCTTACAGCCCGTGCTGGCCAATTAGTTTATTTCTTTTTGCTGAGCTGTTGAACTTGGAGATATCAAAGGTGCCTGGAGCCTCCTGAGTGTTCCTGCTATTCAGTTGTTCAGTCCCATGCAGACAATAGTTAATGCAACAGAATCAGGCCTAATTTACCAGTAAAGCACTGAGCATATATGAACATGAACCCAGTCTAGTGCAACGGAGATGATGTCTCTATGACTTCCTAGTAAAGCAAAATGAGGTTTGGTAATGGCGCAAGACTGCAACTGCAGTCTTTGTCTAACAATTAACCACTGCTTTACAAGACTTCAGCCTCGCTTATGTGCTGTTTTTTATTTTTCTTTCTTTTGTGCCACTATATCATAATATTCTTTCTTAGAAAACAAATGAAAGCAAAATTTGTACCATAAAAGCTCTTTTGATTGAGCTCTAGATGATGATGATGATGTTCGTTCTGCAGAAGGATGGACCTTGCAGTTCCTGTCTCCAGGAAAATTGACATCATCCCATTTCTCAATCTGTGTCTGAATATCAACTGAAAGATAAGAAAAAAAGAAATGAATCTTTCAAAGAAACTGCTGTTTCTTAAATTAATTTTCCTCTGTTAAGTAAATGTTCAGAAGAAATTGTGAAGCTGCACCACCAAGTATTGTTTTAATTAAGGTCCAATATACAAAATGCTGTGCACCTTTCTTGCAGATATTCTCAAAAAATATTTGGAATTTGCATCATTTGCTAAACAATGATTTTTAAGGCTGTGTCTTAGTTTCAGCTGAGGTGGAATTGTTTTCTTCAGAGGGTCTGGTATGGTATTACAGCATTCTCAGTCAGAATGTCAGTGGAAATCTTGACTTAAAATCGGTGATTTGTGTGTCAGAACTGATTAAATTCTAGTTAGGAATATTTAATGTGTTTGTATTGTATTCAGATTGTAGAAATAGAACTTCTAGTGACTACCACTTACAAGTGACTGTGCAGGAAGCCAATAGGATTCAGTGATGTTTGCAAAAATGAGATGTTTAACTCCTGTTTGAAGATAAAGTTCTGTAAAAGAATTTCTGTGCTGATGAATGGAACATTTCCTACCTTGGTATAAATTACATTTACCTTGCAAATTTCTCAATTGCAATGCAAGTAATTTAGTTTGTATGGAACTAAATTAAGTTCACCTTTTCCAAAGCTCATCAGTAGATCACGCTTGGCAGGATATTGAGTTGTTTGGGTTTTTTGTCCAAATGTATAGCTCTTTTATCAAGAATGGAACTTTTTTTCTTTAGTATGCATGATGAAACAGTATTAAAAAAAGACTGTAATTATTTGTAGCACTTGCAGTTCTGAAAAGGACACTCAGTGCAGCCTGTCTCTAATGTGGGTTCTTTTCTAATGATATCCCTCTACATTTTTTTGCTTTTACTGATCCTGTCTAAATTCTTTCTTGGAAACTCAGATCTTGTTTGCAGATTTACTGACAGCTTTTCAGGTGTATCAAAAAAGGCAAAATTTACACAAAGTTAAGCATACACTCCCTGTTAAAGTGCAGTGCAACAAAAAGTCTCATCTTGCTCACTATTTTGTGCTAAGAAATAAACCTGTGCTAAGCAAGGCTGTGTAATACTGATATAATAGCTACACTCTTACCTAAATCTAGTGAAGACTTGTCTGAAACTCTGACAGTCTGAACTTTCTGTTCAGTATCCACACTGATAAGGTCAGAATTGTCTGTCTTCTTTCTGTGGGCTGAAGTTTTTAAGCCTTCACCTCTTGATGGATTCTCTGATTTCTTTGCTTTGTTTTGGGTTTGTAAGGCAGGTTCACTAAGATCCAAGAGATCCAGACCTGTTGATAATACTTAGAGACAAAATGTTAGAATTCAGTGTTGTTTTAATTCAAATAACTCGCATTTGTTTTGTTGTTGTTGTTTTTTCTTAGTTGGAACATGATTTAATGTATTAGACTATAGTAGATGTATCTTTCCAGGCTAAGGCTATCTACTAGCAAATTCAATTATAACTAGTGATTTCAGGTACTTAACTGGGTGAAGTTTAAAGAAAAAAACTGATTTGCAAGAAAGGCTTTCACTCTGAGAGTCTTAAGATTGTAGCCTAAGACCACATTTCCTTCTGTTTTGAAGGTTTCTTGTACAATTGAACGTTTAGATTAGATTTAGTTTAATGCTGTGACTTATCGTGTACTGATAAAAGTTGCTTAGTGCACTACTGTTGTGTCACATGCCAGTAAGGAAAAAAAAGGAAGAGTGGACAACTTTCTCTACCATTTAATTGAGAGATTTCCTTTTCAAAGATGCTGAATTATGCTTATTTTCATTAAACAACTACTTTAAATAACTTAAAAAACATATTTCTGAAAAAACTGAACCCATCTTTCTTGTTCTGGAAGGCAACTCACCTTAGTTTCTTAGAACTAAGCATGATCAATTGAGCCATTGATTTGTGGCACTAAAGGATATGTCTTGGTAATGGAACTCTGTAGGTAATGTTGGTGGTAGGCCTTGGTGATCTTGGAAGTCTTTTCCAACCCAAATGATTCTATGATTATTTGATTCTGTAAGGTTAAAAATGTTTCAACTTTGCACTCTCAGTGTTTCTGGACAAAACTTAAAAACTAGAGAAGCGAGTTCATGTTAGTTCACTGTGAGTCTGTCTTCTTTTAGATTCTTCAAAAAATCATAGTATAAACTGTGTTTTGTGTCATTTAAAGGAATTACGATCAAATTCTATCATAAATATTAGAATATATTGCTGGACAAAACAAATGTGAAGTTTGTGAAGTTAATGAATCTTTTTAAGATAGGAAAGGAACCAGAGAAAACAAGAGCTGTGTTTGATTCATCCAGGTGTTAAAGTTTGGCAAAAACCAATAGATGCCACTATTTTCCAAAGGCTACATCTGCTAGAGATGCAAAATACATATGAAGGGTGAGAAAGAAGAAGTTGTGCAAGAAAAGTTGCAAACAGAGCTAGCTCTGGCACGGAGAGTATGATCCTAATAAAAAGAGAGCTGTGGATCTAAATCATGGCTGGCAAAGGATCTGAGATTCTGAAAGTTAAGGGTTTTGCTGTACTGAAAGAAGGCTATTGCACAGAGGACTGTAATGTAATCTTTTCCTCCTGGAAACAATCTCTGTTGCCTGAAATTTGACCAACTTCTCTTGTCAAAAAAAAACCACAAGTTTGTGGTTATTAACTGTATCTACTGTCATTGCTGTGTGTCCTTTTCAGGATGAATATTGCATATAATAATAAAATACATTGCTTTAGCTTATAAAGACTGTATCTATATGTAAGCCAGTCTTCAGTCCAAGTTTTATATTTATGAGTTATTTGAAGAGTAACAGTTGAAATTCTTTAGCATGTAAAGAACAGGAAAACATCTTCATTATCAGTTTGTAGGGGAGGTGTTTTTGGCACATGAATTAGCGTTGTCTGTTGTAGTGCTTTAGCTATGTTCTTAGGAAATTACCAAATTTCATCAGTCTTCATAGAATAGAAAACTTTGTTATTAAGTACATCTGATACTCAGGGCAGATAGAGGATTTGATGCAGAAATAGGCTATTTAGTTTTACAACAAACAACAGTCTTAAACAACCTGAAACATTTATATTCATCTCTGTAATATCTTTAGCTACCAAAAAGGAAATAATATTCACAAGGGTTCATTCAATTCTGTGTTCCAATTTTGTTATTAGAACTCATATACTGCTTTAGACATGTAACAATATAATTAGATGTGAAGATAATCACTGTCAATCAGTCATTTAGACATTTTTATAATTTGCGTGTGTATACGCTTTAATTAAATGGCTTCTAACAAGGCAAGTCATTGTATAAGACAGCAGTAGAACATAGTAACCTATTGATTTTATGCTATCGGTCAGTCAGCTCAAGTGCTTAGTGAATAGAAGTGCTCAAGTGCTCAAGTGAATAGAAGGTGACCATCTTCTAAAAGCACTTCCACAGGGCGCTACATTTCTCTCAATTCACACATCTTTCAGGATTCACTCCGTATTATCTGCTGTACTATCTCAGCACAACACAAAGCAGAAAAGAAATTTGTGAAATCCTTTCATTACTGAAGTTTCCCAACTTAGCCTAGATAAGCTGTTTTGATGTTTTCCCCTTTTCTCAGACATCCCATCCAAGCCTTGGTTAAAGCACATGTTTCTAAAGAATGGGTTTGGATAAAACTAAATTAACTGTGGCTTACCTGTAGGTTAAATTTTTGCAAAAACAAAGTTTGAGGATTTGTTGAATAGATTTACACTTCCAGTTGAAGTTGCCTTTAATTCAAACTCAGAGATCTGCTGGAGTAAATGTGACTTGGACCACACCAGATTTGACCTCAAAAGTAATGATCAACGTTTTTTCAAATAGATCAATCAATTATAATCAGTATATAATTTTGTGCAAATGGTAACAAATCTTTTTAAGTGACTTAATGAAATCACTTGACAAAATGCACAATAATTAAAACAAATTTTTAATCTCTATTCAGGGATAGTACAGAAATTTGTTTACCTGCAGTATTTGAAGTTACAGGCCTTGCAACAGCTTCTTGTTTAGTTTCACAGAGAAAGTCATCAATGGAGGGACTCAGAAGGGGTCTGCTTTCTTGTTGCTCGTTCACTAGCTAGCAACAAAAAAACTCAGGGTCACAAAGTGTTGTGTTGGGTTGCACAGTTAAAGAAATGAAACATTTTTGTAGAAAATAGTGCTATATTTTGGATTGTTAGTGAGTAAGAGATTGAAATTAGGAGATGCACAAATAGCTCCAAACTTAACAAAGTTATATTCCAGTTTTATTATAGTCCATGGGAATTACTTCATACTCTGGCTTGTAAGGCGTTCAAGGTGTGATGTAACTTCCTTCAAACCAATCAGTGAAGTTGGCCTTCTCTATCAGGAGACTAAGCAGGGATCTTTTAATATTTGGAAGCAGTCTTTTTCTTAGCATGCCTCTCCACAGAATTTCCACAACACCATTCCATCCAGAAAATATGCATTAGCCCATTAAACAGGAAGTTGCTGAGACAGAAAACACTTCTCTGCAATACAAGGACATATGAATGACAGTGGATGGTCCCTGGTGAGTTTATGAACTTCCTGCATGAGTTTTGACTGTATGAAGACTCATCATACAGTTTGTATTTATGAGTAGTTTTCCTTTTTCATTGTAATTGTGGTTGTGCATTGGTTTTCTACTACATAAAAGAAATCTCCATATTACAGGCTTTTCATGTATGAAGTATTTTAAAAGATAAGCAGAATGGTCTCATAAATAAAAATCTCCTCTCTACTATCATGCTCTGAAAGATCAAGCCCAACGGTGAGCTGGACAGACAACTGATGGTGTGCCCTGCATTGATTTCATCTTAATAATATGAACAGTTTTCTCTGTGTCTGTTACTTTCATCCTGAGCTCTTTCAGCCTTACTGTAATCCTCTCTCCTCCATTCCCGTCTATTTTTCCTCTTTCTGCTGTTGAGTTATCCAGCTGTTCCCTTATGCATATTTCAACTTTTGAATTGAGGATGCTAATATGTAGAAAAACTGGCAGAACAAGGCATTCCTTTATCCTCATTTCATGTTTATTAATTACTACTATTTAGCTACCATAGTAATGGTATTGCCACTAAAGTTACTATGGCAAAACAGCTTAGGTTCACTGTCATTAGTTACTTGATTTTTGTATTCCAGTGTTGCAAGGAAATACTTTTTACTTCAAAAGCCCATAATTTTGATAGATCAAACTTCTAAGCTGGTACCTAAAGCTGGCTGGCTGCATAATATGTGCGCTCATTTATTTGCCTGGAATCTTACGGTTTTGTACTGAAATATCAATTTAAATGACTAACATGGAAGACAGATAAATGATTGCTTGCCCAACTGTGTGTAGCAGAATGTGGAAATGTGGGCATTTAGTTAAGAAATCTGGCAGTGGTACTGTCTCAAACTCTACTTCTGCATGCTAAACCGAGACTGCAGCTGCACCTTATAAGGGGAATTTATCAGTTGTTTTATAACTATCTGCATTGAACACTCACTGTGTCAGACGTTATTTGCTTAATTTGGCAAATCTCAAGCTTGATTGGAAATTGCTTTTACACCAGCTGAACAACTTTGATTTCCATTAAAGGTGGCTCTACTTTGTCCATGTTATCTCTAGCTGTATATATTTACCTAGTATTTAAGTAATTAAGTATTTAAGACTTAAGATGACTTAGGACATCTCTATAGATGCATTTTTGTCTGTGCTTTGGTGATCTATTGGTGGAAAAAAACAAGAGTGGGTGCCTAGGTAATTCTTGACCAAACTAGTTTCAGTATTTTAAAGGTTTATGGTCAACTCCATATTTGCTCAATTTGTAAAATTTGCTCAAATAATTCTATATTTTCATTCTAGGCAGTAGCATCAGTAACAACTGTTGTACTTTTGCAGTAAATTGCATATTCTGGTGAGCATAGTGTCCAGCAGAAAGATTGTCAAAGCATCTGAATCATCTGTGTCTTTATTTTGTGATAAGCTACCAACTTAAAGGAAAGTCTGACATTGCTTGGAGGGGGACAGGAAGGATTACAGAAGAGTGGCAGTATACCAGTAGTAATAACTGTAAATGTAAAAACTTCTATGAAGTACTCTTTCCATATATGTACAGGTATATCAGTAGGGCACATCATCATGTACAATGTAGATGCTTATCTTTACCATTAAGTTCCATGGAAATTTTCTTAGTAGGAAAGAATGAGGAAAGGAAGAAATAAATAGGGATTATGAGAACCAAGACAGCCAGGATCACTCACTGGTGACACTAGTGAAACTCTGAAGTCCAACTGCAGAGGCAATTCAATGCCCAAACCTGTTGGCAGAGCTGAGAATAAACTGTGGGAAGAGCAACAGTAATTCTGAGAATCACAATAATGAAGGAGAATAGATAGGAGAGTAAATAAAATAAAACCAATCTCAGGTTCTCGTGAGTTTGACTGATGTGTGAAGTAGCAGATGTCTATCATTTATTCTTTTTTTTTTTTTTCAATGCTGGTTAGCACATTTCTTAATTATGTTGTTTTCATAAAAAAAGACCAGCTCAGCCACAGGACCTCATTAGTACGATACCAGAATTATTGTTCAAAGTCCCTTGATAAAATTTTTCCATCAAATTGAAGGATTTAGGGTGACATCTACTTTTTCATAATCAGCTTCGCCAGCAGACATTGAGATTTAATTTTCACAAAGTTGTGTCTTCTTTGTGATGTATTTGCAGCATTTTCATTTAATCTGAAAAAAATAGGTTCTCTGACTCTCGCTACATGAATATGTACACTAAATTCATCAGAGATGGGCCACAGATTATCAGAGGGATAAAGAAAGCATTTTACAGTGAGACTAAAAGCAGCCAACTGGCGTAGCCTAACAAAATGAGGACTGTGTAGGAATACAATTTTTCTTCCTGTATACATAAAGGATATAGATAGATAGATAGATAGATAGACAGATATACAAGGGGCTGGATGACCTTGGAGGAGGAAAGCTATTTCAACTCTAAAAAGGCTGGCACAAGAATGAAGAGATCTAAGTTGGCCATGAAGAGATTTGTTCTAGAAATTAAAAGAATCTAAGTATCACAGCAGTGAAGTGTATGAACAGTATTTTTTTAGAGGGTGAGACAGAAAACCTAGCTTTTCCAGCAAGCCTCATACATGGCTGCTTATGATGTGATTGCTTATAAGAAGTTGAGTATGACCCAGAGGATCTCCAAGTCTTGTCTCTTGTGCTCTCATAACTAAGGACTGGAAGTTATAGGAGTGCATTATTAAAAAGATTGTTCCTGTGAAATACAGTGTGCTTTCAACTGAAGTATTGAGGTTGAAACATGAAAGCAAATACAGGATCAAGTATACTAATTCTTGGTATATACAAGCTACATATGTATGGCAATACAACACATTAGAAAACTATGTTTTCGATGTGAAAGAGGTGTTTTGTGATGGATCAGACCTCAAGAAGTTAAATACTGCCATGAGCTGATATTTTTGCTGTAGATAAGCGGGCAGAGAGACAGGTTTCTGACATTACTGTGTATGCAATGCCTCTTGGTAAGTCCTCGGTCTCACACATCGAATTTCATTTTGCTACCTCATATATTGTACCAAATTTATCCCTGTTTTCACTCTACTCAACTTATTAGAGTTATATCAGGCATGAATTTGGAGTAGTGCTATAAAACATTCACGAGATGAAAGTTATTATCTATATTAAAGTAATAATTTATGGTTCTCAAGCACCTTTCAGGGTGAGTATCAAAGAATGCTTTAAAACATTCATGAATCAAATCTGGCAGCACCATGGAGCCAAGAAGTATTATCTCTACTTTGCAGGCAAGAGAAGCAAAGGCAGTGAAGGAAGCTGACCGGCTGTGGTGCTGGGAGCAGGAGCAGGCTGCCAGTGCTGCACAGCAGTGATGCGTGTGGTGTTTATCCAGGCACCAAGCTGGGGAGACTCAGCCTGTAAAATTAGTGATTTCTGAGCACTCATTTAGCAACTCAGTACCATAAATTCTCATCTTGTCTCTGAGAATTTTTCTTTACAAAATCTATTCTAATGAAAAGCGTGCCTTTAGCTGAAGCATATGTAAAATTTGTGAAGGATGATATTCCTAACTAATGATTTGAAGAATCTCAACCACAGTATCAAATGCTGCTCCTAAATTCAGACGGTTTTACATTCTGGCACTGACCAGCACCACAGAAAAACCCGCCTTTTTTCCCCTCAGCGCTGCCATTGAACCTTCGTGTTCCAAAAAGCAATCTGTGAACTGTGGTGCTTTGGGAGGGACATTAGGAGAGCCAGAAGCATCATTTGATGGCTAATATCAGCCTCATTCCTTACATGTGTTCACAGCGAGGGTTGTTTTGCACAGAACTGAGCTGAGACACAGAGGCCTTCTCAGAAGGCAGTCGGTGCTGCACCAGGGGCTGCAGACGCAACATTTCACCTCAGCAGCCGGGAGCGCTGAGAAGAATCCGCAGATCTCCATTTTCTGTGCCCTGCCACCTCATCCCCAGATGGCTGCATTCCCCCATCAGGACAGTTTATTTCTCACAGCTGCCTGCACTGGTGGATTTTTGCCTTCCTTGTGCTCTTTGTGCTGTCCCTAGAGCAGCTGTGAGGAAAGAAAGCGGCGGTGTGTGACGGTCCGTCTCTATGCATTCCTCAGTGGTGAGAGGTATGTATCGGTCTGATGGGCAGGGATAAAGCAGCTGGATTGGGATCAAAAGGCTCTAGAAAGTCTTGGGTGGGTTATAATACGTGTGCTGAGGGAAGGTACTGCTCCAGGAGAGGGGAGGTGGCAGCCCCACTGAAAAGACCTGTAGCCATGAGGGGACCTTTCTTCTCTCTAGCAAATATGCAGCCTGGTCTCAGCTTTCACCAATCGCTTGTCCAACTCCTCCTCTGCCCTATATTCATCCCTTAACTGTTCTGTGCTGTATTTTCTCCCCTTGTAAAGGAGCACCGTGCTTGGAAAGTTTAATTCTCAGAGGTGCTGCGTTGTGGGCACGTGTGGGCACAGCCTGCATCCAGCTGCTGCTATGGTGACAGCTTGGTCTCCTGTGAAAACTTCTTTATTTTCT